CGGTGATGGGCCATAATAATCAACCACATTGTATATTGACAAAATAAAAATTCAAAAAAATAAAAAATGAACTAGAGCCCCCCCAAAAAACAAAGAAAGTTTGTTGGTGAGGTGGGCAGAGAAGACCACTAAGGAGATATTAGGCTAGAGCATTCCAGCTGAAGAGACAATAAGAAGAATTATTAAATGTTTCAAAAACAATGGTATCTCTCAATAATAACATAAATATTCACTCAAAATCAAATAATATTAGAGTAAAACTTCCTGAAAAAGCAGCTATTATATGTTTATCTAATTCTTGGGTTCTCACCTACTATCCAGGACTGGAACATTAATGTTGCTTTGTACATTATAAATCGCAATTGTGCCATTGTGATAGCCAACTGCTAGAAGGTTAGGTGCTCCAATTGAAAAATCCACAGCAGTAACTCCATATGAACTCTGATAAATGCGTTCTGGCCACTGAATAAAAAAAATTAATTAAAAAAATATATATATATATATTACATTTTAAACTTGTTTTTGTATACCATGATAAAGTAGAATATGAAGGTGTTTGAGATTAGTCTGGTGGCAGTGGGGATTTGAGTAGTCTATGTTCATTTACTCCTGTATTCCTCCTAACTTACAGTATAAGAGAACAAAACCTCAGTCATTTATTTTACCTTGATAAAACTGTGAATCCTCAGTACTCAATAGCTTTAAGCAACACAGCAAGGGCTTCTGTGATAATTATCATATTTTGTAATCTTTTATAAGGATTAGTATGATCATCACATGTCTACCCTTTCCTGAAAACAAATAATGGGCTGCAAACAAATCATCTAGCATAAACTCCTGTCTTCCAGTATTTGTTTTGGATGCTGGAGCTATCTAATCATTTCCAAACAGAGAATAGAAAAAGCTACAAAACTTTCTAAAGTACTCTGTTCTACAACTCTGCTAAGAGTTTTGTTTTGTTTTGCTTTGCTTTGTTTTAATGTCTAATCTAAATCTTTTCCTGTTTCTAACTACCTACATGGAAAAGAAGACAAGCTACTCAATTCTTCCACATTTAAAATTGCTTCTTCCTTTCTTTTATGCTATATAAACCCAATTTCCTGACAGAATAGGACTATTTATAAAAACTTTAATCATTTTTACGTGCTCTTCTGGCCCTTCTCTGAGTATTTCACTTCACATTTCAGTTGAAAATAAAACTAAATGTAAAGCTTTAAAGTAACAGATTGACTATGGCAGTTTAGCAAAAAAAAGATTGTTGTTATTCTTATTCATCCTCTTCAGAAATTCATGGTAGTAAGAAGGTCATATTAATCTATTTTATATCTGTTGAGGATAGCAGAGATCAGGTGATAAGGAGCTATTCATATATAAAGCAACAACCAAGTATTAAAAGAAACATGTAATTTTCAAAAGATTTTCATTTGCAGATTCATTCTTCTTTAAAATTAGCTGTCATGATCATTAATAGTTCAACTCTGTATCATCAGATCTAACAGCACATTACTATGCTCACTAATGCTCAATAAATATTTACTGAATGAATTCCCTTTACCCTATTTCAGCAAGAACAAATTTTAACTGTTATGGATTTAAACCAAAGAAAATAAAGAAGAAAAATCTTGATTGATACAATTTTCTTGACTTTGTTTAATTGTTACATATAATTATATACTTTATGAGAATTTCGTCAACATTTAACTAAATAAAAATGGTTCTCATTCCTATTTGGATTACCACGGGATTCTTTATTGACCAGCAGCAAGCCAATCCTCTTTTTTGTTCCTTAAATCCAAAGTGCCCATAGCCAACAGCCAAAATATCCTGAAAACCAGAAAAATACATTTAAAATGAGAGATGGCAATAACATAAAATATAGAAATATTGGCAAATGTATAAAGACACATGTTAATGAACTGCATTAAAAATAGTAGTAAGACATTCAATTGTAAGGGAAAAAAATACCAGTATACCATCTGCTTTTACTCTACACTTTCATTTTCCTAAACAAATAAAATTAATCAGTATAATCCTTCTTATTTTCAGGCTGAGGAATAAGTACCTAAGAAGAACCAATTGCTTATATATTGAGGTAATCTACCAAGATTGTATTATTATATTATAATATTTTATGGGTTTTTGAGAATAACCTAATCATTTCAAATATAAAATAAAACTTAAGTTAAAGGCAGATGGTATGGACTGAGTTGTGTCTCCTGCAAAATTCATATGCTGAAGCCCTAACCTCCAATATGATTGTATTTGGAAATAGGCTTTTAGGAGGTAATTGAGGTTAAATGAAGTCATAAGGGTGGTTCCTGATCTGATAGGATTGGTGGCCTTATAAGAAGAGAAAGAGACACCAGAGCTCTCTCTCCGCCATGTGAGGACACAGAGAGAAAGTGGTCATCAGCAAGCTGAGAAGAGAACTCTCACCAGGAACCGAATCAGCCATCACTTTGATCTTGAACTTCCCATCCTCCAGAACTGTGAGAAAATAAATTGTTGTTTAAGCCACCCAGTCTATGGTATTTTGTTATTGCAGACTGAGCTGACTAATATAGCAGATCATTTCAAGAAATGCATATGTAACTACATATAGACAAAAGTTTTAATGACTGACCAAACCCAGCTTCCTCTCTAAAAACATTTCACTTTCTTTTCACCACTCTACTTTCAAGCCAACATCAACTCTCCACAATTCCCCCATCTTAAAATAGTCTTCACCAGTATCCTTTTCACTCTGACATTGACGAACCCCTATTCATTTATTGTAGACTCTTCATAGGCATTACTTTCTTTAAGAAGCATTCACGAGCTTCTCTTATGTATTCCCATGGTACTATTTATTTGCCTTATCAAGCACATGGGAAAGTAGTATATGGGCATGGTCTATGTATAACTTAATTATTACTTTATCTCTAGTGCCTTAACAGAGTATCCAGCACAGAGTGAATGTTCAATAAGTATTTGTAGAACAAATTAATAAATATAGATACCATCTGTAATATGTTTTTATTTATCTTTGTTCAAAAAGATTTAATCTCAATAACAATGTATTAATTTTTAAAATGCTAGTATATTCAGTTTCTAAAAATGTTTCATATATCTTTATTACAGACTTATTATTGATTTATTAAATCCCACTTATCCACAAGATGTTCCCAAATATAGTTTTATAAAGACAAATTCATAGTAAAAGTACTTTATTTCATTAAAAAATAATACAAATAATTAAAATCATGTATTATTTGAGTTTCAACAGAAATGATTATAGACTTTCTGTTTTTTAATAACCATCACAACTATCACATTTGCACATAGTACCTGATAAGGTGTGGCAATAAAGTAATAAGGCTAATTCTCAAACATGCATAATACAATACAACTTAAGCAAACAAACTAGTTTTGAACACTTTAAAAATACACTAAATATTTATTCCAAAGATACTGCCATTACTCAAAAGATTTTTGGAATCTTTTGGCTAATTGGGAATGCCTTCAGAAACAATTTATAAATCCCAGGAGAAAATCAGTCTCCTTACTCTATAACTATCTCTTTTTTTACAAGCAAATATACCATTCCTTAGCTTCATGATTCATCTTATTTACCTCAAAATGACTTTTGGCAGTGCAGTAGTTAAGAGGATGAACTGTCGAGCCAGATGTTTGAGTTTGAATTCTGGCTGTTGCACTTACTGGTTGTGTAATTTTGAGAAGGTTATTTATCCTTTTTGTGCTTCAGTTTCATCATCAACATAATGGAGAAAATAATAGAAACTAACTCAATGGATTGTTGTGTCAATACTTGTAAAACACAACAATGCCTGGTACATACTAAGTGCTGTTTAAGTATTTGCTAATATTAGTAGCAACAGTACTTTAAGGAATCGCATAATTATTTTGCACATTTTCAGGGTCACTGGATTAAGTATATGCTTACAAATATGACTACTTGAGGAGAATACAAATTTAGGTACATGAGTTTTATTATATGCTAAAATAAATCAACCATAATCCATCTTCTAGTTCACTTCTCAATATCCGGCATGGATTCGGAGAATGCCATGTCCCAATTACATCTCCTAAAATAAAAATGGTAATTTTTTAAATTAAAGAAGGAAAACATTATTTTGTAACTATTTACATCTCTCCCTTTTTGAAACATGAGCTTGTTTTAGGGGCATTTCAAAACTAAGAGTGATGGTCTATCTAAATGGCCTGCCCTATGTTTGAGGGAAAAAAAAAAACTCTTTATTATTAGAACATGACAATTGGGGCCGGCCCGGTGGCGCACTGGATAGTGCGCCGCTTGGGAAGCGCGGCGGCGCTCCCATCCGAGGGTTCGGATCCCACATACAGACCGGCTCCCGCTCACTGGCTGAGCACGACGCTCTTCCGATCTAACACTGAGGGTTGCGATCCGTTGCCGGACACGGAAAAAAGACAAAAAAAAAAAAAGAACATGACAATTGACTTTAAATGATAAAGATGGAATTGTTAAAATATTTGAAAACTTACTGGGTTTGTTTTATTCCAAAATGGCCTGCCCTATGTTTGAGGGAAAAAAAAAAACTCTTTATTATTAGAACATGACAATTGACTTTAAATGATAAAGATGGAATTGTTAAAATATTTGAAAACTTACTGGGTTTGTTTTATTCCAGGCAAGACTGCTCACATTAAGGCCTTTGGTTAAGTCACAGGAAAAAGACCAAAGTCGTTCCAAATTGGCTGGTATTGTTGATTGTACTGCACCTATTTCTATTTCTTCTTCCTCCTCCTTCTTAACTTCTTCCTCTGCCTCTTGAAGTTTTTCACCTTCAGGCTCTTCAGGCTCTTCAGGTTCAGGTTCTAAAATTAAATCAAATAAAAAGATCATTGCTCTCTACAACTATAAGGCCTGCCAAAGGCTCCAAACGGCATCTATATCTTCCACTGACATTCAAGCACAATTGGATCTGTTAGATCATATGGCCAAAGTAACAGGGCACCTTGAATGGTAACCTGGACTTGTTGCAGAGTCTTTTGTTTTTCTGGGCTCCACTCAAAGCCTGTAGCTTTTTGAGTCACTCAGTAAATGGGCCAGAGTAGCACATCCAAATGAAGAATATGTTGCCTACAAAATGAAGAGACCCATTAGACATTGTGCCTCTTTTTGGTTGTAAAAGGGGCCAGGTAGTCACTCAGTAAATGGGCCAGAGTAGCACATCCAAATGAAGAATATGTTGCCTACAAAATGCAGAGACCCATTAGACATTGTCCCTCTTTTTGGTTGTAAAAGGGACCAGGTACAACAACTTATCCTTCACTTTAGAAGGCATATCTGAACATATCCCACACCACAGGATCCCTAGAAATTTCACTGAGGCAGAAGTCCCCTAAAATTCTGTCAGATTTATTTTCCACCTTCTGACATTGAAATGTCTTATCAATAAGTCTACTTTCTGTTTACTAGGTACAATCAGCATAATATCATTAATGTGATGGACCAGTGTGACATCTTGTTGACTAGAAAGTTCTCTACAGACTAAATTATGACATAGGGATAAAGAATTAATATACATCTGAGGTAGGACAGTAAAGGTGTATTGCTGTCCTGGCCAGCTGAAAATGAGTGACTTCTGGTGGTTTTTTACCAATAGGTATCGGAAAAAAAAATGCATTTGCCTTATTAATAACTACATAGCAGGTATGAGGAAGATGTGTTAATCAGCTCAGGCAATAAAAACCCCATCTGGAACAGCAGTTGCAAGTGGAGTCACTGCCTGGCTAAATTTATTATAATCCACTGTCATTTTCCAAGATCCATCTGTTTTAACACAAGCCAAATAGCTGGCTTAGATGAATGTGAGATGTGAGGGGAATCGACATACCTGAATATTTCAAGTCCTTGATAGTGGCACTAATCTATGAAATCCCTCCAGGAAAGTGCTATTGCTTTTGGTTTACTATCATTATCACTCAAAGTCCAAAGTTTATATTAGAGTTCTCTCTTGGTGTTGTATGTTCTATGGGTATTGAAAAATGCATAATGACATGAATCCACTATTCTAGTATCATACAGAATAGTTTCACTGTCCTAAACATCTCAATTCATTCCTTCCTGCCCCTTCACCCCTGCCAAACACTGATATTTTTACTATCTCCATAGTTTTGCCTTTTCTGGAAAGTCATATAGCTGAAATCATACAGTATGTGGCCTTTGCAGATTGCCTTTGTTCACTTAGTAATATGCATTGAAGTTTCCTCCATGTCTGTTCATGTCTTGATAACTTAGCACTGAATAATATCCCATTGTCTGGATGTACCACAATTTATTTACCCATTCACCCACTGAAGGACATTTTGGTTGCTTCTAAGTTTGGATAATTATAAATAAAGATTCTATAAACATCTATCAACAGGTTTTTGTGTGGACATAAGTTTACAGCTCACTTGGGCAAATACCAAGGAGTGATTGCCAGATTGTATGGTAGGAGTATGCTTAGTTTTATAAGAAACTACCAAACTGTCTTCCAAAGTGAAAATACCATTGTGCATTTCCACCAGCAGTAAATGAGAGTTTTTGTTACTTTACCAGCATTAGGTGTTGTCAGTAGTTTTGATTTTAACATTTTATTAGGTGTATAGTGGTATCTCCTTGTTATTTTGATTAGCAATTCCCTAATGACATATGATGTAAGTAACTTTTTCTATGCCCATTTGCCATCTGTGTATATTCTTTGGTGAGGTGTCTCCTTAGGTCTTTTACCCATGTTTTAATCATGCTATTTGTTTTTTATTGTTGGGTTTTAGGAATTTTTTGCATATTTTGGATAACAGTCATTTATCAGATATATTTTGAAAATATTTTCTCCAGTGTGTGACTTGTCTTCTTATTCTATTGACAGAGTCTTGCAGAGCAGAAGTTTTTAATTTTAATGAAGTCCAGCTTATTAATAATTTCTTTCAGTGGGTCCTGACTTTGGCATTGTATTTAAAAAGTCATTGCAATACCCAAGGTCATCTAGTGTTTTTCCTATATTATCTTCTAGGGGTTTTATAGTTTTGCATTTTACATTTAGGTCTATGATCCATTTTAGTTAATTTTTGTGAAGGGTGTAATGTCTGTGTCTAGATTTATTTTTGCATGTAGATATCTAGTTGTCATAGCACCATTTGTTGAAAAGACTATCTTTTCTCCATTGTATTGCCTTTCTTCTTTTATCAAAGATCAGTTGACTATATTTATGTGAGTCTATTTCTGGGCTCTCTATTCTGTTCCACCCATCTATTTGTCTATTCTCTCACTAATAGCACATTGTCTTGACTATTACAACTTTACAGTAAGTTGTGAAGTCTGGTAGCATCAGTTCTCTGACTTTGTTCTTCTTCAATATTGTGTTGAATATTCTGGGTATAATTGCTTTTTTAAAAGTCCTTTTCCTTTTCCACCATCTCAGTCACCTTTTTGTCTGTTTCTATTGACTGATTTTTCTTGTACTTATGGGTCATATTTTCCTGCCTCTTCACATTACTAGGTTTTTTTTTTTTTTTTTAGATTGCTGGACACCATAAATGTTACAGTGTTCAATGTCTGGATTGTGTCTTCTACTTTTAAAAAGTGTTAAAAGTCTGCAATCACAATTCCTTGAACTTGTTAAGACAAGTGAAAAGATACGATGTTGATGGGTGAGAGGGAGGGAGAGGGAGGGGGAGGGAATAATCAGCAAAGGGACATGAAAATCAACTACACTGTATACTGATAAAATTTTTTTTTAAAGTATGAAAGTTTGTTTCAGAAAATAGTTAACTTACTTTTGGATTAGCTTAATATTTTTAAGGCTTTTTCTGAAGGGTTTGGCCAGGATAGTGGGGTGGGGGGGTCTAGATTAACCTTAGTCTAGGGTAGTCTAGCCCTACTGTTAACATATAACCTATCTGGATTTCTACTAAACAACCTCAAGTGTGCAGCAAGGTCTCTCTCACTCTCTGGCTAGTCAGAACTCAAATGTCTCCCAATCCTGTGTGAACTCTGAGACTTGTTCATCTTATAACTTCCTCGTAGTTGTTCTGTGCTTGATTTTGTGGAGTTTTATCCTAACGTGCACATCTCAGGTTGCAGCCAAAGACTCAATGGTAGATTTATGTAGTTTTTTCTCTGCATAGCTCCCTCCTATCTGATTCTCTGTTCACCAACTTCCAGATACCTCAGCCTTCTTGAACTCTTCTCTCTGTCTCATCAAATAAGTAAAACTACCACACTCTAGTATAGTTCCCATCTCTGTCCTGTGGCCTCATAACTATCTATATCCTTACTAAAAGTAGGCATTATATTTCACTATTTTGAAAAGATCAATGATGGCTTCCATATTGCTACGGTAGGCTTCTAGTCATTATGTGTTATACTTGCCCTCCTACCATTAACAAACAAAACCTGGATTAGATATATGAGGCAACTGTTTTCAGGCGTTGAACAATAGACAATGCAAAACTGTGAACTATGGTCAGCTGGATCATATGGCCCAAGTGACAGCAGCTTGCACGGCAACCTGGGTGTGTTGCAGAGCCTTCTCCTATTATGAGCCTCACTCAAAACTAGCAGCTGTTCGGGTCACATGGTAACACATGTGGGATGGAGTAATACACCCAAATGTGGAATGTGTTGCCCCCAAATCCAAATAGGCCCTCTAGGCATTGTGAATCTTTCATGGTTGTAGGGTGGGCCAGAAGCAACAAATTATCCTTCACCTTAGAAGGGATATCTCAATATGCCCCACACCACTAGACCCCTAAAAATTTAAATGAGATAGAAGGCCCTTGAATTTTAGTGTGTTGCCCCCAAATCCAAATAGGCCCTCTAGGCATTGTGAATCTTTCATGGTTGTAGGGTAGGCCAGAAGCAACAAATTATCCTTCACCTTAGAAGGGATATCTCAATATGCCCCACACCACTAGACCCCTAGAAATTTAAATGAGATAGAAGGCCCTTGAATTTTAGCTGAATTTATTTCCTGCCCTCTGACACATAAATGTCTTACTAATAAGTCTAGAATAATTGCTACTTCGCGCTGACTAGATCCAATCAGGATAATGTCATTAATGTAATGAAGTAAAGTTGTATCTTGTGGAAGGGAAAGGCAATAAAGATCCCTGCAAACTAAATTATAATGTAAGGCTGAAGAATTGATATACTCCTAAGGTAGGTCAGTTAAGGTGTATTGCTGGCCTTGCCAGCTGAAAGCAAACTGCTTCTGGTGGGCCTTAGGGACAGGTGTGAAAAAAAAGGCATTTGCCAAATCAATAGCTGCATACCAGGTACCAGAGATGTGTTAACTTGACAAACAATGAAATCCCATCTGGTATAGCAGCTGCAATTGCAGTTACCATTTGGTTAAGCTTATAATAACCCACTGTCATTCTCCAAGATCCATCTGTCTTCTTCACAGGTCAAATAGGAGAGTTGCATAGGATGTGATAGAAATTACCACCCTGTATCTTTCAAGTCCTTGATGCTGGCACTAAATTCTGCAGTCCCTCCAAGCATACAGTATTGCTTTTGATATACTATTTTCCTAGACAGAGGCAGCTTTAATGACTTCCATTTTGTCTTTCCCACCACAACAGCCCTTGCTCCACAGGTTAGGGAACCACTGTGGGGATTCTGCCAGATGCTAAGTATGTCTATTCCAATTATGCATTCTGGAACTTGGAAAATTTACCACAGGATGGGCTCAGGAACCCACTGAACCCACTGTGAGTTGGACCTGAGGTAAAACTCCATGGATTACCTGACTTCCATAAGCCCCTATTCTGACTGGAGGGCCACAGTGACATTTAAGGTCTCCTGAAATCAATATCAGTTCAGAGCC